CTCCTCATCTCCCCAGCCAGTCATGCCATCATAGAAGGCTATCAGATTGGTCAGGCATGATTTCACCCTGATAACCTTCTTTTCTTGCACATGCTTAAAGATGACCCCCAGAATGAGTTGTTCAGTCACCTTTCCAGGCATGGAGGTGAGGCTGACTGGGCTGCAGTTGCCTGGGTCCTCCTCCTTGCCCTTTTCGAAGACTGGAGTGACATTGGCTTTTGCTGGCTTCCACTCACCTGTTCTCCATGACCTTTCCAAGATGATGGAGAGTGGCCTAGCAATAACATCTGCCAGCTCCCTCAGCACTCGTGGGTGCATCCCATCAGGGACCATGGATTTGTGGGTGTCAAGTTTGCCTAAATGATCTCTAACCTGATCCTCCTCAACTAGGGGATGGCCTTCGTTTCTCCATACTTCCTCTCCCACTCCCAGGGTCTGGGATTCCTGAGGGCCGGCCTTAGCAGTAAAGACTGAAATAAAGAAGGCATCCACTAACTCCACCTTCTCTACATCCTCCATTACCAGTGCACCCATCTCATTCAGCAGCGGGCCCACATTCTCCCTGGTCTTCCTTTTGCTACTGATGTACTTGAAGTCCTTCTTGTTATCCTTGACATCCCTTGCCAGATTTAATTCTAAGTGGGCCTTAGCCTTCCTCATTGCATCCCTGCAAATTCTGACAAAATTCCTATACTCCTCCCAAGTGGCCAGTCCCTTTTTCCACATACTGTAAACTTTTTCCATTTGACTTTTTCCAGAAGCTCCTTGCTTATTCATGCAGGTCTCCTGCCTCCTTTGCTTGATTTCTTACTCTTCAGGATGCACTGATCTTGAGCTTGGAGGAAGTGGTGCTTGAATATTAACCAGCTCTCTTTGACCCACTTACCTTCTAGGGCCCTAACCCATGGGATTCTCCCAAGCAGGTCTTTGAAAAGGCCAGAGTTAGCTCTCCTGAAGTCCAGGACTGTAATCCTACTTGCTGTCTTGCTCCTTCCATGCAGGATCCTGAACTCAACCATCTCATGGTCACTGCAGCCAAGGCTGCCCCCAACCTTCAAATCCCCAACCAGTCCTTTGTTTGTTAGTACAAGGTCCAGCAGCACCTCTCCTCGTGTGCTCCTCCACCATCTATGTCACGAAGTTATCAATGCTCTGCAGGAACCTCCCAGACTGTGTGTGCCTAGCTATGTTGCCTTTCCAGCACATATCAGGGTGGTTGAAGTCCCCCATGAGAAGCAGGGCCTGTGATCGTGACAAGGCCTTCTACAGATAGCTGGAAGTAGCCTCAGCTTCCTCTTCCTGATCTGGTGGCCTGTAGTAAACACCCACGACAGTGTCATCCATATTAGCCTGCCCCTTAATTCTTACCCACAAGCTCTCAACTCTTTCTTCATCCACCCCTAGGCAAAGCTTGATACATTCCAGTTGCTCTCACATGTAAAGAGCAGCTCTACCACCTCACCTTGCTGGCCTATCTTTCCTAAAAAGTACATAACCATCCATGACAGCATACCAGTCACACAAGCTATCCCACCATGTCTCTGTAATTGCAATGAGATCATGGCCCTGCGACTGCACGCAAACCTCTAGTGTTTCCTGTTTATTCCTCATGCTGCATGTGTTGGTGTACAGGCATTTCAGAGAGGTAATGGAGCATGGAGGTTTCCCTGGAGCGGTATAAGAGGGTCCACCGTGATCATACACACCCTTGAGGAGACTGGCCTTCTGGCTCTTATATTGGGAGGCAGTTAAGGAACATTTGTCACTGTTCTGGTTGACCTGGCTTATTCCCCAGTTGGATGCGATGGCATGAGCATTGCCATTTTCGAACCCGCTCCCTGAGTCCTTCAGTTTAATATCCGCCTCAGATTAATATTTGTTAGATTGATACTTGTTTGATCAAACTGGTTGCATATAATTGTCTTTATTCTGAACAACTGAAACAAATATAATCCGTGATAGCTTAAATTAACTAATATGTCTGTGATTGTTTTTGCATTTATGTTCTTGCATTTTTTTTTAGGTGTTTTTTGATTTAATGAGAGAAATCAGAGCCAGAAAAATGGAAGACAGCAAAGAAAAGAATGGGAAGAAGAAAAGAAAAAGCTTAGCTAAGAGGATCAGAGAAAGATGTTGCATTTTATAATCAAAACCCTGAATTCCTTTCCAACCCTGAATTCCTTTCCTACCCTGACCATACTAATAAAAACCATAATTTATAAGCATGCCATTGAAGGCTCAAGTGACTGAAACTACTCTAATATGTTGGAAAACTTAATGTACCACTAAAAGCATGAATTGGAGCTGCACTGAAAGTCAAATTCACTGAAAAAAAATTATGTGGCTTCAAGAGAAGCAAAGTTCAGTCCATTTCATAATTGCCTACCTTCTCACATTTCTTCTGAATGTAGTGTTTCATAGGCGGTCTTTTCTTTAATAGTGAACAGAGGAGGAAGTATTACTTTGTGGGTTCTTGTAAAGCATACTTTTTTATCACTGGTAATTGTCAATTCATCTTGTCTTTTGTTGCCTTGAAAACTACAATTGTGAACGTGATACCTAACAAAGTGGTATGCAGTTGTTTTGCCATGGAGTTATGCAAATTAGAAAAGAATTATGTATATGCGAAGTTATGTTGGGGAAAATTATATGTGGTTCTGCATTACCTGATTAACCTAGAAGAGCGATGTAATCTTTTACATTGAAACATTCGAATATGCCTTAATTTTAAAACCTAAACATAGCAGGTTGCTTAATCAAGGGTGTATTTTCAACTTCGTTGCATGGAGACTGTCTCTGCGCATCAGTGCGAGACTGCCCTCTCTCCAGAGTGCAGTTACATGAATGATTTCGCTAACTAGCTGTCTGCTAGCAGTGTCTGTTCTTTAAATGTGTGCCATACTCTGGTATTGTGAATAATACAGAGCATATTCTGTCACCTGTAACTTGGTAAACGATACGATATCTTAAAACTAAAAGGTCAGAATACATATACGACTGGAGTCATAAGCCTATGGCACATCTAAGCCTGGAATGGTCGTTTAAAACTTAACGTGCTGATACCTTGAAACTTCCCTTTTGCAAGTAGATTTTTTGTCTAGATGTTTCTTGGGTTTGAACTCCCTGGAGTTGGGTGGAGTGGAGCTAAGTCAGTAGTGCTAATGTGTTTTGAATTAAGATGTTGTCCGGGAAATTCTGGTGTCATCAGTTAATTTCTTTTGTGTTCCTAATATTCAGCTATGGGAACATAGTGTGTTATGCTGAAGCTATTTGCAGGTTTTGTACCATTTAGTCTAGTTTATGTTGATTTTTCAAATGGGGAACATTGTAGCTACTTTTTCTAGTTAATGTTGATATTAAACAATCAAATATGCTTTGCAATACAGAAACATTTACCATGGCATCCAAAATCCCCAAACAAAACATACTGCCTCAGTTGCTTCAGAACAGCAAGAATACTAGCACATGGTTAGTATGCTGCATCTTAACTAAAAATATACCAGAATGTTTGAGGGTTTTGGACTCCTCTGGGGTCAGACAGGCTAGATCAATTCCACAAAATGTTATACTTTTTATACATGTGTAAGCCTATAACTGACAGTTTAAAATGTGCTCAAGCAAACTAAGTAACAAATATTTAACTTTCATGCTAACAGACATTTTAGGGACTCAACTCTTAGAAGTTATATTTGTCATGTTAAATATTTATCAGTAGGAATTTTGTATGTGCATTTAGTACACTGCCAAGTGCAGAATTAAAGTTACTCATGTAACTGTGGCAAATAAGCCAGTCTTCATCTTACTGTGTACTCATTTGGGTCTGTTTAGCCAGGGAGTCTAACCACTAATGTTGTGACTTTGCTTTGGAACCTGTCTACTGGGAACTGAGGTGTTATGAAGCCACCAGACACATGAAATTTGTCTTGGCTGATGCCTTATCCTGTCCTTTTATTTGCTATTTGAGCCATTGAAAGATGAATAAACTTCCATTTTTTTTAAATACTTGTGCAGTGTTAATTGATAACTATATTATTGATAAACTTTGCTATAGCTGATGCCACTTCTCAAACAGTTAAACCTAAATATCCCAAAAGCCTTTCTTGTGTGTGTGAACAAAATTATAGATTAAACCTAATTAGTCTGATAAAAATCCACTTTGTAAAAGCTGAGACTATGTATGTGCTACCTTTTATCCAGAGCTAATTTACCCCTGCTTGCTGTAACAAAGAATATCAGAAAACAGGCAGAGGTAAGCTTCTTGCAGAAGTATTTTTCTGTAAGAATGGAAACTGAGATTTAAAAAAACAAACCAAAAAAAACCCCAAACAAACCAATCTATGCAAGTTTTAAATAAGAAAATACATTCTAAGTCACTTTCTTTTAGCACACTCAGGGAGAACATAAGTGTGCTTCCTCTGTAGGGAATACAGCTTGAATTGTGTATATAGCATTTAGGTACATTTTGAGAGTCATCGAAATTGAGTGATACATTTGCATCATAGAGGAGTGTTTGGTTTAGCAGACTTGTGTGTCTGAAACTCCGAGGTCTGTCTGCTCAGAGTGCTTCTGTGCCCAAGAGCGCTTTACCTCCCCTGTTTCTCCTCCAAGAAGTTGAAGATACCTTCTTTCATTGGCAGGATCAAAGCTTTCCGTGGTATTTTCCCTCCACGTTAGCCTAACCTAGGCAGCACTGTTGCTACCTTTTGTGAAATGTATTGCATTGTAAAACTGCAGACTAGAGAGATGCCTTAATTTGTAACAAGCTATGAAGTTCAATCTTCCATTATGTACGAAACTAACATTGAATTCTTACGCTAACTCTGTTTTTTTTCTGTAGCTGTCTTCTCAAATTCAATTGACTTTCGAAAATGCTGGCAAAGAAATCTGTGGTCTGTTTGGTAGTTTCTGTAGCTTCCTGATGAGCACACACTAGTTTGATACTAGCGTCCAGCACCTCTTTCACTATTCTGAAACAGCATCATGGTGTGCAGGAAGTGCTTTCCCATTCATTAGGACCTTGTTAACATCAGAGTAGCAAACAGAATGGCCCCTCTGGCAATTCCAGCAGTGATCATAATGCAATAAAATACACTCCATATCTGAGCTATATGCTTGCTATACTCATCTGCAGGAGCCAAATATTTTATCTATTAATATGTAAAATAGGCTTACTGAAATTCATGGGTTTCTTTTTGGGACACCAAGCTTTGCAATGATTATCTTGTTCCAGAGTCTGAGAGGGTAGATGGTCCTACATGATTATATTCCAATGCAAAATGCAGAGCAGCAGAGACAGCTGGTATCACACGAATGCACATAGTACTTTTAGCTGTACCAGAGCCTGATCAGAAGGTAGGATTGAGCCTACAACAATTGAGAAATGAGTAAGGAAAGAT